GGACAGGTACATAGATGGGATAGGTATGGAGGGATAGGGACCAAATGTGGGCAAATGGGACTAGATTAATTGTGAAAACTGGGCAGCATGGACAAGTTGGATGAACAGGCCTATTTCTATGCTGTAAACCTCTACGACAATGCAATAATATTTCCAGAACCACAATAAAGTATATGACAAGACATATTTTATAACAATTGTAATGTTCGTTATGTATCAGCAATTATACAGTATACCTAAAAGACATATCATCACCATATTGTAGCATGTGACCTGAGTTTATAAAAATTTCAGCCTCCATTTTAATTTGCCACTTAAAGCATGAGATGCTGATAGAAATGTGATGTTGCCTGTGACTGAATAGTTTAGTATTAGCCCAGACATTGCAGTGCCTATGACTGTAAGGTATGGATATATCAGGAGCTGTAATTAGCATCAGTTAAATCTTTCAGTACTGCATTATCCACATCTAGTTCTTTACATTACAAGCACTAACATACATAATGCCTCAGAAACAAAAGCAGAAATTGCTGGGAAAGCTCAGCAAGTCAGGAAGCATCAGTGGAGATAAATCAGAGTTATTGTTTTGGTTCCAGCGACCCCTCTTCAGAACTGATTGTAGCTAGGAAAAAATTGATATTTATACAGAAGATGGGTGTGGGGAGGTGGGGGAGGGTAATTGATAGCTGGAGATAGAGCCTAAAGAGAGAGAGAGAAAAAGTTGGACAGACAAAGGAGTGGTTAACAGAATGCAAACAGTCTTTGTTTCCCCAGTGTAGAGGAGATTATATTGTGAACAGCGAATGCAGTAGACTAGATTGAGCGAAGGTAAAGCACTGGAAGTGTGTCTGGAGTCTTGGATGGTGAGGAGGAGGAAGAAAGTAAACGGACATGTGTTACACCTTCTGTGGTTGCAGGGGAAGGTGCCATGGGGCTGTGGGGATGTGTTGGGAGCGAAGGAGCAGTGGGCCAGAGTGTCCAGGAGGGAACGGTCTAGGCAGAAGGGACTGGAGGGTAATATGTGTCTGGTGGTGGAAGTGGCAGAAGAAGCTGCTAATGACTCTATAGATGTGGATGCTGTTGTGATGATAGGAGAGGACAAGGGGAGAGAACAAGGAGGGGTGAGGGCAGAAGTGCGGGAGATGGGTCGGACACAGCTGAGGGCCCTGTCAACTATGGTGCTGGGGAATCCGTGGTTGAGGAAGAAGGTGGGCATTTCAGAGGCTCCCTTGTTGAAGCTGCATCATCAGAACAGATGCGATGGAGATGGAAGAACTGGGAGAATGAAATAAAGTCTTTACAGGGAGCAGGGTATGACGATGTATAGTGCAGGTGACTGTGGAAGTCATTGGTTTTGTAGTGGATATTAGTGACAGTCTATCCCCAGAAGTAGAAACAGAGGTGTCAAGGAAGGGAAGGGAGGAGTCAGAGATGGACCAGGTGAAGGTAAGACCAAGGTGGAAATTGGAAGTGAAATATATAAACTTTTCCAATTCCATTGAAGAGAGAGGAAAGCAGCACCAATGATGTCACCAATATACCAGAGAAAGAGTTACGGGTGGGGGCCGGAATGGGACAAGGAATGTTGCATTGATGCCACAAAGAGACAGGCATAACTGGGGCCCATGTAGGTACTGCCTGGCCACATCTTTGACCTGAAGAAAGTGAGAGGAGTTAAAAGAGATGTTTAGAGTGAGGATAAGCTCGGCCAGCGGAGGAGGGTGGTGGTGGATAGGGACGGTTCAGGCCTATTTTCCAACAAAAGAGAGCCCTGAGACCATCCTGATGGGGGATTGATGTGCAAAGGGATTGAACGTCCATAGTGAAGAGGAGGTGGCTGGAGCCTGCAAACTGAAGTAAAGCGTCTGATGAATTGCAGAGGTAAGTGGGGAGGCACTGGACAAGAGGAGAAAAAAACGAGTCAGTTAGGAAGAGATGTGTTCTGTGGGTCAGAACCAGGCAGAAATAGTGGGTCTGCCCAAGCACATTGCCTTATCAGGTACAAATACCTCATTGGACGCAAAAGTCCACTTCATGATAGCAGATCAGGTAGAGAAAGTAAATACAGTGATTTTTCATGACTGTAGCCCACATATTTTACAATCATTACATAAAGAGCTTTGTATGAAGTTGATCAGAATTAGATTACCAGTTGCAAATATTCCTCTTCTTGCATTTTTGCTTTTTACTGAAATAAATAATTATGAATAACCAACTGTTTTATACCGCAGTGAAATATTACTTATAATGAATGCACGATTAATTAAACAGTACAGACTAGATTTTGAATTCATGGAACATTCATAAGATCTTTTTGTTAATAGGTTATTTCCTGGATGGATTTAAAAATAGCAGTGATGTTTGATGAGAAAAAGACAAAGACAAAGTATGTTCAACTGCCTCTCTGGCTCACCCCCAGCTGTGAACCCAAAGCAGTAATGTCAATCAAACATCACATATGGCTTTTCTTCAATTGAATTAATTTTTCACCAACTGAAGGAAGAAGTTATCAAGTCACATAAGAAATCTGAATGAATAGTTGGCAGTTCTTCAGCAACATTCATTCTCAATCTGTTTGTAAGTAAAGTGCTAGGATCAGAGGCATTTTTCTAAACCTCAATTAATTTTAAGGAATGAAGTGGGAAAATATTCTGTGGTTTGTAGATTGGTTTCATTCTACGTTCTATCACAGCGACAATGATAGAAAGCTGTGAGGTTAAACATGTGTATCAACAGTGGAATTGCCTGTATTTTGGAAGCAGCAACAGAAGTATAGCACTTCTTGAGCCAACAGATCACAAAAAATCATCCAAAGGCAGAATTACATTACTACATTCTACAGCTTTATAAATAATGGAATGAATATTTTCATCCTTTTTTATATAAATTAGGCTGTGTATGTATTAGGCAACAGAGTGGACACAGAAATTCATTTGTGATTGATTCTGTCTTTCCTTGAAAGGTCAGAGTGCCTTCTGACTTGTCAGTAGCAACAGTACATTTAAAATTCATGCACATGCCTCGAAGTTATACTTCTCTCCAGACATGTAACAGATGCTCAATGTCTAATATCTGGCAGATATAGAGATTGCATGGCTTTGGACATTGGGTAGAGGACAGAAGAAGAAACCTGTGTTATGCCTTACAATTAACTGTGATTTCAACAGTAACTCTAGCCTTCCAGTAAAGCTACAGACATAAAATTGACTAACAAAGACATTTCTATGCTAAAGGTTTGGAAGTATAATGTTTACAAGCCAATGCGCATAGTGTTTGTGAAAGGGTGAAGTACACTTGTGCCACACTCAGGTGCAGAGGGTTGTGACAGTATTAGCAACAGCAATGTTTCCTCCGTATAATTATTGTGGGAATATCTGTTGCTGAGGTAGAGGTTGTTGATCCAAACTGTGGCACTCAGTGCTAAGAATGCCCAGCACTGCTATTTCCAATCATGATTTGTGAGATAGAGAATAAAAGGAATGCAAAAAGAATCTGGACTTCAATCTTAAAGACAGAGAGCAATTAAGAATGCAGTTAATTTTAAAAGGAGATTTTGTTTTTGAAAAGTGGCTCCTATCTTAATCCTCACAGGATTGCAACCTATTTGTCCATTCTTTTTCCCTCAGTTTAAAAGATGGAAAAGCATTTACATTCAGATCAGTTGACTGTTCCCCCATGATGCAGAGCCCTTTAAGCCTCCTGTAAGAGGGATTCATTTTGGAGATTGAGGACAGCTTATATTGCACCATTCGCTGAGGATAAAGCATAGCATTGAGCCTGACAAATTGTATATGTTCAATTAATTTGATTCAATGTGTTCAGGTTGAATGCCAGATGAAGTTGCAACTTGTTCTTTAGTTTCCAATTAATTATGTATATTAAAATGTGAGCTATAGTTTACTTAATCAGTAAACACATGTCATGACATGCATGTGAACAAGGGTTTCATTCTGGGAAGAAGCTGAGAGCTGAAATATTGCTTCCAAGATTTAAGACACATAATGCATGCATTTATTACTCAGTGTAGCCACCAAACCTTTAGACCGTTTAAGGACTTCTTATTTACTTGACCCTTTCAAAAATAAAAGAAAGTAGCCATGGTATAAAATGAAGTTAACTTTAGCAGCAGTAGCAGATTAATGGGTATGGAAAGAACAGTTGAAATTCAGCATGTTCTCAGTGGCAAATCTTTTATATATGCCAGAATATGCCAAGCCTTTTTTTATATTTGGGAGAAATGACTGCCTAACATGATGGGCTTCAGTTGCTTCTCAGGCTGTGCGAGAGTATTCCTGCATTATTTATTCTGATTACCCTCCCCTTTGCAATCCTTTCTTCTTTCTCTGCCTCAATGCTGTCAGTGGCTCATTTCTTTATCTCCACTTATTTGTTTCTTGACCACCTCCTTATCACAACCGACTGGGTATACTCTATCATTATGGTATTGAGCCATTGACCAGACAGTCAGGATTTCCATTGCTTTTGGAACTTGTTCTGCAAAAATGCACATCATGGGTTACGGCAAGATAAATGTAAAATTTGCAGTATTCGTTCCAGAATGTCAGAACACGTCAAGTCACTTGCCCAGGCAAAGATCTAAGCCAAACGCACTAATATTTTGTTCCAACAGTGATCTAATTAGGTGACTTTTTTTTCCGGATTGAGGTTCCTAGACTGAAAACAACTTTGTCAGTAAATTGCCATCTGATATCAATATTATTACTGTGAGGACACAGAACCGCACAGAAACTTTGAACTGTGTGAGTGTCGGATCAAACTTTAAGTGACAAATCAATAAGATTTTACGTGAAGTTATGATCATTTCTTGTATTCTGTCAAGTTAAAAAATCATTTTTCAATGTTACATCACACATGCACAGTGTCTTACTGACTTTCAGGAGTTAATACTTTACTGTTGATCATCAGGTGACACTGATCTTTAAACAACTTAGTGAAATCTAAAAATATTCTGAAATATGTGACAGATTTGATGTTTTTACCTTGATATGAGAATGTCAGGCGTGGTTTACTTTGTTTCCAGGCTTCAGTCACTGGTAAAAGGAAGATGATAAGAACACAGCAGCACACAGCAATAGACTGTGCAGAAGAAAAATTACTTCTGCAGTCCCTTTTTCTGATTAGAAATTTGCACTCCATGTTATAAATCTACATACATACACCAGCACAACCCAATCCTTCTGTATATCAGCAAGGTCCATACCAATTCAAATCTTCAAAGTACACTGCTAAAACTGCTGTTAAACTAAAAGTAGGAGTGGTAGACTCTCCTGCCAATCAGTCTCCATCAATTTGCATAAATGCTGTAAGGAACAAGCAAGAAAGGAGTGGTTTGGCAGAGGCTGGGCAAGCATTTTATAATTAGAGCCAGCAGTGCTAACATCTGCTGAACAACAGGCAGCGTTAAAACAAGAAAATGTTTAAGCTGCACTCCATTAATACGCAGCAATCGTGCATACCAGCCATTGAGGGTCTTTTTAAAGGTAGACTTGAGACTAATTTTCAATTAAAGCAATATTTTAATCAATCATTAATTTTTAAAAAAAGATCAATGTTACACATAGTGTGGCAATTTGATTCACGCATCAGAATATTCAGAATAACTCAAATGTTTAATTCTCACCATCTCAGGCTAAAAGCTGCATATTTCAGTAGAACTGTTTAACTATAGGAAAGTAGAATAACTAGAAGTCAAATCTTTTTGGGACAGTTTTGTTGGATTTTGCAGCTAAAGAGTGATTCTGGAAAAGGAGCTGCTTTCTTTTTACCTTTGTATAAAGGTATTTAGATACAAAGATTTAAATCGATACAAAGCAAAGTTAAGAGCAGTAAAAATAAATTAAAAATGTAAAAACTATTATGAAAATCACAAACTATAATCATCAATTTTATTTGAAACTGTAACAGTGATATAAAGGTTTTGGAGCAGGAAAGATCATTAGGCCCTAATATGTTTGGTGTTTCCACATATCAATCTTTCTGTCATCATTTCCTTTAACTCACTCTCTTCAAAACTGCCCAGTTCAATAGTATTTCTTCATTGCCTGGTTTTGCACATGTCTATCATAGATAGGATCAATCTGATATATACAGCGAAAATAGAGCGTCCTTTGATTTGCAATTCCTCCCTCTGTTACTGTGTCCCAACTGTCATTTGCCTCTTTTTAATAAAACCAGTGTCTGTGCTAATGATTTCATTGAATAACATAGTATAGGGCCTTACTGAAAGGAAAAGCAGGTTGGAAAATCAGACACTGAGGCTGGCACATCTGATTCCTGGTTCTATTGATTTACAGACATAAAAAATAATAACTGACAACCAGAAGGGGCATGAATTGTGGCCTCTGTGTCCATTAAACAAAGACTGTATTCCTGACTGAAAATTGTATATGTATCGCTATCTCTAACACTGATTTTCAAGCTAGTTTTCTATCTCCCCTATCCTGTGATCCTTAATCTGTCAATTACCAATGAAGAAACTTATAGAGAATGTTTTGAAATTCAAAGATGATCAAATGCATTTTCTTGTTCCACTATATCTGAGAAGTGTCAGCAAATACCATTGCATTAACTAGCCTTAGCCCTCCTTTCTTGAAACATGTTGGCCATCCATTATCAGGGTACACCTTTCCACTATGACGGTACTGTCAAGGTTTGCAGATATATGGCTTTTGGCACTCAGTCTGCAAATCAACTTATTTTTGCTACTAAGTATTTCCATTGATAAATAAACTACAAAAATACAGTTGGTCAGGATGAACATATACTTATATGATCAGAGACTGTTGCAAATATGATCCTTCATGCAATTCCAATTTGAACATTGCCACATTACTTATAAATTATCGATTGGCACACAAACTCGAACAGGACATGACTTTGTGCATTCTGTTGTATTATGACCGGGGAATGTGAGAAGGGATGGATTTACAACTTGCCCCCTAATTAAAGTGGATGACTGATCCATAATGCCAGTTTTACACCAAAGTGGCAAATTGAATACGTCTACAACAGCACTATCTCTTCTTAAATCTTGAGAACACACAATTCATATCAGAGCTGCCAGTGTACCTGGCTTTAATTAAGCTAGACAAACTACAAATGTATCTCCATCTACAATTATTCCACTGGTCACATTTCAACTGCTTACATGCATGTTAGTAAAACTAATGTGCTATTTAATTTTACTTGTCATAAACATTCACATTATACTGAAATCACCTTTATCTGTCATATAAAAGCTTCAAATGCTGAATTTTACGTTTTTTTCATTGTGTTTAACTTGGCTGCTGAAAATAGCTTTGGAGAAATCTAGTTAATCATTTTACTAACCAGGGAATGGATTTCTAGAGTTTGTGTACTTCGAACTTATTTAATGGGATGGGTATCAATTTGGAGACGTCTGTTAGTCATTACAGAGGTGACCTGACTTCACAGCCCAAACAAGTGTTAAATTATGAAGGCAAACAGCTGTCAGCTGGAATTTCAATATAAACCAAGCGTTAATTAACCCTTTTAGGCATCTCCAGCCTTATTTTATTTAAAGAATTGATTTAATTGTTTCAACTCAATTTTCTTTCTCCTGACATTGGATTGCCTCCCATAGCATTCCTTATCCGAAGAAAAATAGAATGAGAAAATGATCCAGCCCAGGGGATCATATGGGATCAAAGGAATTACAATTGAGAAGGAAGTTGTTCAAGATTTTTAACTGGAGCCATTACCTCAAAACTTACAAAACTCTGCATTTTGTTTATTAATTTTCAAGTACTTTTATCTGGTACCTTCCATTACCGTTCTCTGTTAAACCTGAATTATTCTCCTAAATGAAACCATTGCCAAACTACAGGGGTGGATACCAGGAGGAATGCCCAGGTCAGGACACGTCTCCTCCATCTTAAAGGAACTGCCAACAGCTCTGCTAATATTAGGGATTAACCAATGCAGAAGTACACTGATACAGTGATGGACTCTGCTATTGGATCACCTGACATTGCATGTCTAACTTACAAATGATGTTAAGCAGGAGAGTGCAATATTATTTATTGCTGAGCACTAATTTGATTAAAGTTCTTTTTCAGGGTCATTGTCCAGGCCACAGCTGTACTCTGGAGCTTGTGTATACACAAGACAAGGATTGAATACATTGAGGTCATTTCAATGTTTATAGATTCCAAGGACATGGATATCTAGTGATCTGTCTGTGACATTGCTCATGGAAACAGGAAACGAAAGCTAAGGGGATGAGTTTTTTGTTTATCTCTGTATGCTTTTGTGCCAACTGCTTTTATAAATCTGACTACATCTTCCACTAACATTTATTGACAGTGATTTGTGTTTTTAAAAGTTCAAGATCAAAGTTTAAAAGAAGACATTTGGATTGGATTAAAATTGTGATAAATTGAGAATAGAATTTGTCTTCAATGTACCTGAAATCCTTCAAATGGAAGTAATAGCTGAAAACACCACATACCGGAATTTATGAGCCCATGATGGTGGAAATCATGTGACCAATCCCACGTAATCCTGGTGGAGAGCCGACAAAAGTCTCCCAGTCGTGGCAAAACCTCCTTGGTTAAATGAGAGGGCAATAGGGTATGATGTGGGAATCCCAACCACAAGTGCATTAACAAGTTTAATTCACTTAGTTAACCAGAAGTAAAATGAAGGAAAGTCAAGTCCAAGGTTTTCTTGAGTGAAAGAGATTGGAGTATTATTATTTTATTACCTATTAAACCTGAGAAAAACAAGAAAGTGCAAAATTACAAACGTACAAACTCAGGTTATAAACTTAAAAAAGTGGAGAGGCGACATGTCTGTACAGGAAGGAAAATAAAGGTCATTCTAGTTTAAAGATTTTAGGGTCTTGAGTTGGAGAGTGAAATCTGAATCTGAACTGTTTGGCTGTTGTACTGTTTTTTCAGGAATGACAAAATTTGCTGATGACCTTGATTTCTTGCTGAATGGTGGTTATTTTCTCACAAGCTACTTTTTCACCAGTACTGTCTCCTGAGATTGGGAAAAAGAGGAGAGAGAGCTTTCAGTATCCTGGCTATTGTCATTTCCATGTTTCTTTCACTCTATTTTGTTAATATATAGTGCCTTTAATTTCTTCATATCTGTATGTATGATGCAAGTGATACAAATTTCCTGATGCCTCACTGTGTTTCTGCATCTCTTGATTAAAATAATAATACAATTCAGCCAGTTTCTATAGTCAATATTGCTTGCCTGGGTTGGCTAGATGATCTCAGCAGCCATTTTAGGTCAGCAATTTCCTTTTTAAAACAATTTTTAGTCCTTTAAAGTTTCAGGTGTTAAAGTTAAATGATGGAAGTTGAATATTAATAATCCATTTTCACTACAACCATAACAAAGGTGACTTCATTATAGACATTGTAATACCTCATAACTGGAGTTGTCACAATTAATTGTTTAATTCTAGTGAAAGCTGCATTTTGTGCTGTGTCCCCCTATACTACTGCACATCTTTAACAGAAAGCAGTGTGTAGAGGTTCATAGTTTGATAATATATTAGGCATGAACATGGTTAAATAGTTCACAAATCCAATAAACAATTGCACTGGTTTCACATTTGTTGGTCACTGCATCCCACTCTAGCTCTCAACTTGTTAGGATCTAAGCATATCATTTTGCTATCTGTACAGGACCTAAAAAATTGTCTTTAGGCATCTTTAGTTGCATTTATTTTTTTGTTTAAAATCAGGTTCTTCTGGTGAGCGCTCTCTAGTGGTCACATCAGATTCTGGTGATAATTTTTGATTGCTTCTTCCATTAGAATCATAGAAACTCTACACTGTGTGGAAGCAGGCCATTCAGCCCATCTAAGCCACACTAACTGTCAAAAGAAAATCCCACCCAGGCCCACTCCCCAGTATCCCTGTAGTTCACCTAGCACCCAGAGAACACCCACGCAGACATGGGGAAAATGTGTAAACTCCACACAGTCATCCAAGGGTGGAATCGAAACAGAATCCCTGGTACAGTGAGGCAGCCGCCATATTGTGCCTCCACATCCATTGCCTAAGTAGATCATCCTAAATGCACTCCAGGAAGATCACTGACTGGAATCTATCAGTCTCTGTCTTGCAGATACTGATGACAAAAAGTACGACATTGGATGAAATTAAGTAGCTTGGGAGGTCCTGTAGTTATGATAGATATTATACGAATGTAAGCTTTTTCCCTTTAAATCACTTCTGTCCAATCT